AGCCATTCCAGCAGCCCCAGCGCCAGTTTGCCGAGCCAGCAGCAGCTCCAGGCCCAGATGAGAGGATGACAAAGCTGGAAAACATTCTAGCTTCATTCATGACGAGCACTCAGGCGACTATCACGAGGTTGGACCAGAGTGTAGCCTCACTGGAGGCAGGTCAGAGGAACCAGGGTGCCATTTTGCAGGATCTGCAGACCCAGGTGGGCATCTTGGCCCGCCAGAACACCACCAGGGCACCGGGGACTTTGCCTGCCACCACTGTCGCGAATCCTCGAGATCCTCACCAGCATCAGCAGCTGGATGCCATTTTTACCAGGAGCGGTAAGACCATATCTGCTGATCCTGTCCCGGCCAGACAGGAGGAACCACTGCCTGCTTCAGCACTTCCAACCGACGATGCAGAAGTGCGGGTGGAGAAGGAAGCCCCTGCTCCCAAGCCACTACCAGTGGTTAAGGAGCATGTGCCCCAGCTTTCCTTCCCCACTCGCCTACACAAAGACAAGCTGGAGACTGAGTTTGCCAAGTTCATGGCAATGTTGAAAGATGCCCAAGTATGCCAAGTTCATGAAAGATCTCTGCACCAACAAGAAGAAACTTGGGGATCTCTCGACAGTGTTGCTGAGCGAGGAGTGTTCTGCTATCCTGCAGAACAAACTGCCCGAGAAGCGCAAGGATCCAGGGAGTTTTACTATCCCTCTTACTATTGGCAGCATGCATGTAGGAAAGTCCTTGGCGGACCTAGGGGCTAGCATTAATGTCATGCCATATAAGTTGTTTAAAAAGCTAGACTTAGGTGAACTTAGCCCTACTAGGATGAGCATTCAGCTCGCTGACCGTTCCATTGTGCATCCTAGGGGTGTCATAGAGAATCTGCTTGTTAATGTTGGTGCATTCACATATCCTGTTGATTTTGTTATTCTGGATGTATATGAGCATGTGGATGTGCCTTTGATTCTAGGTAGGCCATTTCTTGCCACCGCCAAGGCACTTATTGATGTGCATGATGGTAAACTAATCTTGCGTGCTGGGAATGAACAGGCTACTTTTTCTGTGACTGAGTTTGATCACTGTGCTATGATTGCTGTCACGCCTGTGCATGCCATTTCTGATCAGGTACACGAGTCTGTCGTGTACCCTTCTGCACCTCCTATTTTGCAGGACCCTCCTATCATTCCTTCGCCGCCACTCCTTCCAGCCTCGCCTTCGAACAAAAAGCTCAAGGAGGAGTGGCGGCCGAAGCAGCAGGTTGCTAAGCCTGCACGGAAGAAGAGTGGAGACCACTATGAGCTGGTCCCACCTCCTGCACCACGACCACCCTGGCCTTCCGGGTACTCACTCGCCTGCATCCTGCCAGATGGGCAGGTCGAGTTGACTGATGAGGGTGGTCGCATCCGTCGGGTGCATGGCCACAACCTCAAGCTGTACCTCAAGAGCGACGTGGATCCGCTCTTGGAGGCACCTGTTCCTGCACCGCCCTGAGTATCCACCATGGGCGTCCAGCTAAAAGACGGTAAAGAAGCGCTGGTGGGGAGGCAACCCCACCACGGTTTGATTTTCTTTCTTGTGTTTTGAGTCGGATTGTAACCCGGTTTGGGTTTGGTTTGTTTTCTTTTGGTTTGGATGATATTTTATTGGGCTGACCATTGAACCTAACATATTGTGTTTGAGCTCTTCTGTTCCCCTTTGGTTGTGCTTGCCCCGACTGGCCCGTTTCCAGTCTCCTGCAGTCCGTGCATACCGGTAACATCGTTCCCTTTTTCTTTCCCTCTTCTCCATTGAGGGCAATGTCGATCTTAAGTGTGGGGGGATGTTTATCTTTTGAATGCATTAGATCTGTTTGTGTGCTTGGAGCCTAGTCCACTGTCCAAATTTTTAAATTTGAGGGCTCCAAGTACGTGTTTCCATGCAATTGCCTACTCAGTATGCTTTGAATTGACAGTCTTTATAGTAATATGCAACCTAGGGAGGTAGTGTAGCACTATGGAGGATGTTGATGCATTTAAGAAGTCTCATTTCTTCTTCATATTGTGTTGGTTGATTGAGTGAATTAGTGATCTTAGGACCCTTGAATTGTGTGGTGTTGTGGATTCTCTACCTGTCATGGACTCTTGTATCATGTTTTGAGTTTAACAGGTGCTCGAAAATGTGCTTCAAAATAACGTCTCCCGTGCGAATAGGGCGAAAGTGTGTAAGGGGAGACGGGAATCCGTTCCCAATTTCCACCTACTACCTCCAGCCCCCTTGCATGGCTTTCCCCCGCACGAGGCTCGAGACATCCGCTCCTGGCATGGCCGGTAAGAGCAGGTTGGGACCCTTGAAAAGAAAAGAAAAGAAAAATAACAGAAAACAAGCAAAACAGAAAAAAAGGGGTTCCAACCATCTTCAAAGAAAATAGAGCACCTTGAAAAATGTGAGTCCATGATCCTTTGTTTTTGAGAATCTCTCCATCCACGATTCATTTGTCCTCTGTTCACTGTTTGCCATGATGCCGACTCGCCGAAGAAGCTATGAGATGACTTGTGCGTCGGTTGACCTCGTAAGCTGCTAAATGATCTAGGAAGTCCTCTATCTACGATCTGGGTTGTTTGTTGCTATAGAGGTCTGGAGAGTTGCATTGGTTTGAGTTAGGTTTGCTTGGGGACAAGCAAACGGTTAAGTGTGGGGGAGTTTGATAACGATGTAATTGCACATGTTTGCGCCTCTAGTTCTTATCCGTTTGAGGGGCATAGTCGTGTGTTTTGGCCTATTTACGCCGGGTTGTGCTATTTTGTCATGTTTCAGGTCCCAGGTGTCAAAGGGAAGGCTAAGCGCGAGTTTCGGGGAATTTGGAAGTCATTTCGGTGAGCTGGAGCCAAAACACGGGCACACCTAAGGCATTACACGGCCGTGTTCCTGTGGCCGTGCTTTTTATGCCGAGAGCTGAGCTGATTACACGGGCAGGGCCGAGACAAAGCACGGCCGTGTTCAAGCATTACACGGCCGTATCCAACGCGAAGCACGGCCGTGTTTCTTCCCAACTGCTGGCCGTGTAATTAAACCTGGCCGAGACACGGCCGGACACAGGCAAAGCACGGCCGTGTCCTCGACCGTGCTTTGGCCACTGATGCTTTTAAGCAGATTTTCAGCCACAACTCAAGGGGATTCGAGTTTTTGAGAGATAGAACGATTTCTAGAGAGAGAAAGTGACGAACAAGAGTTCCCAAGTGCCCTGGATTGATCTTCAACACCATTGGAGGTCAGTTTGAGATTGGAGAAGTGCCGATCAACATCCAGGAGCAGGAATCCATCCTTCACAGTATGAATTCCGCGTCTGATTCTGCTTTTGCTTTCTTCTCCATGGAGTAGTTCTCCCATTCATCTGGGTATGGAGAACCCTAGATTTGTATGTTAGGTTTGATTGTATGAACCCAAGTACTGATTCTGTGATGGATTATATTCGATTGAGGTTTGAATGATTGAATGACTTGAATCCTGATCAAATTCCTGTTGTTTCTGCTTTAACCTAGAATGAGAATATCTGACTAGGTTAATAGAGTATCCTTGATTGAAGATAGGGAGTTGGTGACTTTAGTCGAGGAAGCAACTCACTATTCTGCACCGGATTTACTCCGGTAATGGAGGTTTTGTTCTTAGGGCCTCAATCTGTTTACTCCGGTGGAGGTTAGTCGCCCGCTAGAGACTCAGATTGAGAGGGTCTGAAGACCTTTAGTCGAGACTTTAGGCTGTTTAAGAATCTTCCGCAGTATAACTATCATAGAAACTGAACTTGGTAATTACAATCCGGCTTAACTGCAGTCTAGGGGGAACCATATCCGGGTGACCTCTCTTAACCTGAATACAACAGTTTACTTGCTTTGTTAGTTTGTTAGTTAGACTTGCATTCCAGTTTCATTGCTAGATAACAAGAATTCACTGAGTAGTCATCAAATCTAGGACCCGGGTTGATAATTAAACCCAAACCCGCTATACTACGCTTTAGGAAGTGGTTTCACTTGGCCAATTCCTGGAGTGACAGTAGAGTCGAGTCACTCCCACTCCCATGGCCTCCTCTATAAAAATAGATAAAGATGAATTTGGTATTCCCATTAGTGATAAGCTTTACAGAGGAATGATAGGGTCCCTGTTGTATCTAACTGCAAGTCGCCCTGATATCATGTTCAGTGTGTGTGTTTGTGCTCGATTCCAGAGTTCTCCTAAGGAGAGTCACTTAACTGCAGTCAAAAGGATCTTTCGTTATCTCTGTGGCACCTCAGACTTGGGTCTATGGTATCCCAGTGACTCATCTTTAGAATTGATAAGTTACTCAGATTCAGATTATGCTGGTTGTACAATCGATAGGAAGAGCACTTCTGGCACTTGCCATTTCCTAGGATCCTCTCTGGTTTCTTGGTTTAGCAAGAAACATAACTCTGTTGCATTGTCCACAACAGAAGCATCAACTCCAAGACTATGGTCTTCACTTAAAAACACTTCATGTTCTTTGCGACAATACTAGTGCCATCAACATGATCAAAAATCCCATTTTGCACTCACGAACCAAGCACATAGAAATCATATATCACTTCATTAGAGATTTGGTCGAAGAAGGTACCATTTCCTTGGAATTTGTCCCCACTTCCAGTCAATGGGCTGATATCTTCACAAAGCCATTGGGCTCTAATCAATTTCTTTCGAATCGTCGTGAGTTAGGTATGTTTTCCTGGTCAGAACTTGAGAATCTGAAGTGATTCTGTCTTTAAGAGAGTAACCATATGTGGAGTCGACCCTTCCTATTCTTTAGTTTCAAGACTTACCTCCTTCCTCTCAATCTTTAGGGTTAGAAAATATTTTCTTTCTCCTCTTAATTCCATCCTTCCTTTTCTTCAAATCCTTGTATCCTTCTTACCTTAACCCTCTATCCTCCTGCAAGGGTATTTATACTCTCTCAGATCAGTGTGTATTCTCATCGAATTTCTCCACTTCCGTATCAAAAGATCTCTACATATTCTTAAGTCAGTATGGCAGGAATTAATCCCCATGTTCCCTTGCATCTGGCTCAAGCAGCCATCTTTACTGGAAAGGGATTCAGAAGCGCGGAGGACTATGCTCGCTATCTCATTAAGTTTCAAGATCGTCCCCTATGTCCCTCTATCTCGCTTGATCCAGCCCGCTTCAATCGTTATGACATGAACATCCCTGGGTTGATCAATGTTGTTGGATGGTCAAATCTTTCGCTGGATCAGTGATACAGCTTTCGACCAGAAGCTGTACGCATGTTTTATGCCAACATGCAACCCTGTTTCAACACTGATCCTCCCACCTTCACCACGGTGGTGTACAACTATCTGCTCACTATCTATGTTGACATTCTGTCATATCTTCTCGGCTATCCTATTGCTGGTACTTAAGTTTTGGATGAAGGGGATTTCTAGGAAGTTGGTTTCAATGAAGTTGAAGCCATTCATCTGTATACAAGAGATACAGGTGAATACTATCCTTCTTAGCTTGCCACTGGACGTCTCCTTGATGATCTCAAAGTGCTTCACTTCTTCATCACTCGGGTCTTCCTTCCCCGCTCTCATGGACTCAATAGGATTTATCCTATAGATATGTGGATTCTGGCTAGTGCCAAAGAAAATCGCCCAATCAGCTATCCCCATCTCATGTTTAATCATATGCTTAATTACTGCGATGACAACTTCAATGAGGACCTCCCCTTTGCTCCTCAAATCACTCTGCTGTTGCGCGCCCTAGGCATTGATCTTCGCTACAAAGTAGCTAGGGTCGATCTGATTGATACCCTTTGCGCTCAGTTTGTTCTTCGCAAGGTGAATGCCGTTGTTGGTCGTAGGTGTCCTCGAGTCAATGCTTCAGGGGGAGAAGGGGCTGTAGTTCATGCAGCGTCTTTAGCAGCTGATCTTGAAGAGCTATTCCTGAGGTTGTTTCTGAGGAACCAGTAGCGGCTGAAGACCTTGAAGATGGACTCAGTACTGCTGATCTGGAGGAAGAGCTAGGTGGAGATGAGGGGGAAATCTCTGACTACCTGTCTTCCCCAACTTTCCCTTTCTAAGCTCGCTTGGTCATCATAGGAGTTTTGTGTAGGGGGAGCTTAAGTTTGTTGGGTCTTGCCTTGAGTCGAACCAGAAGTGTTTCGTTTCTGAGAATAAAGCTCTATGTAAGAGTGCTTGTTTGTCTAGGAAGTCTTAGAGTCTAGTCTCTTGAGTCTTATGTCTTGATTGGTTGATGTTATCTTGGAATAAAATAACTCCTCTTCTATCTTTCTCATTTGGTCACAATATGATTATGTAGAACAGTCTGCACGTAACCATTTGTGGAAGTGTGTGCAGGAACCACAGTCACAGAAGAAAGAATCATTGACAAGCTGAGGGGGAGAATGTTGGAAGCAGCTTGTCAAATGAGGCTGAATTGTGTTTATGTTTCGTGTAGAACAAGAATGAACGAACGGTCTAAAAAATCTCAAGAAGGAAAGTTTTCAAGTTCTTGCCATAAACCAATTCAGGAAGGAAAAGGAAAGAAAGGATAACAGCACTATGATTGCTGAATAAAAGGTTGAAGAGAGCAAGTAGATTGACACTTTTCTGGAGATCATTCATACTGGGAGAGCTTAGATTATAGCTTGTGTGTTTGATAAGAAAAGCAAGGCTAGTTCAACTTCTGGAGAGAATTTGGGTTAGGGCTGTGTTGAGAGAAACACAGGAGCTGGATTGCTAGTAGTATATCAGGGTTTGGGTTAATTCAATCATCATTCCAGGATAGGATTGAGTGATTTCGGAGCTGTATATCTCTGTAACAGAAACGATCTACAAGCTTAGTGAATCGTCGAAAATCACATCGTCGTGACCATCCGACCATGGAATAGTCAGAGTTGGGATTCATTCGACCCAGCTCTGGAAACCACGTAAAAACCGACTGTGTCCAGTTGTTCTTTGGTGCGGATAGTGTGTCGTTGAACTTTACTCTGTTTCTGCTAGTTTTGCTTGGTTGAGTGTTTATCTGAAATAGGGGATCTGACTCTGAGGAACACGAAGAAGGAGGTAAAGGTTCAGTCCTGAAACACACAGTTTTGGGTAGAGCAACTCGGCGGTACAACCCTCTTGGGTCGGAGGAACTAATCGACTGGGCTTGAGGCTTCTAGTCCAGTTACAAAGAAAGTTTGATCCAAATTATATTGTTTTCTTTTTTGATTTACTTAATACATTTCACCTTTACTCATCGTTGTCCTTCACCTGTTCTTGGCCAAAATCGAATTAGGTTTTCAGGTAAAGAAGAAGAGTGAATTCCCAATTCAGTGCTGGCATCTCGTGCTCGAAGCCAGCAACAAAGGTTGGTAATTCTTTCATCTCCTGGCATTGTAAGAAGCAAGATTGAGTTTCGAAAGTCTGGACTGAAGCAGAGTATAGATCCATGAGTGAAGTTGTTTATGAGATTATTTGGCTCAAGCGGTTGTGTCATGAACTAGTCTCAACGCTCATATCGTTCAGGAAACCACGTAACCTTGTGTCTTGTGTATCTCTTTTCCTCGTAGCGATTGACAGCTTTTTGTAGCTGGTGCCGAATGATGTTTTAGAGAAATGGACTGTGGTGGTTATTTCTTAATGTATCCATTACTAGCTAGCTTCTAGGAGGTGTGGAAACAAAAGTATTCCAACTATTATTCATAGCACTAAGGACTATTTGGTAGTACGACGTAATTTAACAATGAAAGACCACCTGACCTCCAAAGCTTGAAGGACTCAGAATTAATGAAAATAGACAACGTAACCAATTATATTATCCAGAGAAAACTACATTATATAATGTAGAAGAGACAACGTAACCAATTACATTAATATATATAAAGAAGAAGTGAGGTTACTGTTGCCTAATAAATTACAACTTAGTACCCACTTCTTCTTTATATATATTAAACCTCACTTCTTTTTACATTTTATATTTTGATACCCCAAATTTAATTAAATTATAACTTAGTCACTATAATGTACATTTTACATTTTGATACCCAAGTTTAATTTTAATTTAAAATCATTGAACAATTATGTTTTTATATCTACATTTTATGAATTTTTTTTAAATTACATATTGGTCCAATGCTTACATATTGGTCCAATGTTTAGATTTCACTTGGATTCATGAATCCAATCTACCAATCATTTTGAACTAATCCATGAGTCCAATCCACCATAACATAAAAGTATAAATTTAGTTTGTACCATACAATATGTTGTATCACTCAATAGTAGGAGAAGATTCGAACATTTTGTATACTCATTATATGAAACATAAAATAAATTATTAAAGAGAGACGACTCTAAAATATTGCAAAAGCGAATTTATAACTCATTTAGTACATTTACGGGGTACTAAACAAACTTCTACTAACTACATGTAACAAAATATGTGACATCTACATAAGAGTATCAATAAATTGCTACGGCAAAAAGGGTTGACTGTAGTATTGACGGCCAACTAAAAGAATTGGTGAAAACCTTTCCATCATCTACTTCCTCTTCGTTTCATTTTCACTCGCCTTCCATAACCCTTTCTTTATTTCTTACTTTACCTTCTTCGTCAAACCCTAATTAGTATACTATTATTTTTATGCATTCTAATCACAAGTATGAACGAGTCCATGCACAACTGACCAACAGTCTAGAGAATTAATAACTGAACCATGAACCATTAACATTTTTAGTTCAATGTCCAGTCCAATTAAAATCAAATATATATGGTTATTACTTATTACAAAGTCGTCATTTTCCACTACGGGATTAGAAGGCGTGAAATTTTAAGCGAGTTCCAGTTTGTATTCTTTTTACTTCTCTCTAGAGTTTTTCTTTTTCACCCAAGCTAGAATTTTCAATAATTATACATGAAATGTTTGGCTAGGTATCTACACATATTAGATAAATAGTTTTCATTTCTATAAAAAAAAAAAGTAAATAATTATCATTTTAAATACATCACTATAAAAGGAATTAAGCCTCAACTATGCAAATTATAGTCCAGTACCTAAACATAATAGATCTTTAGATTTATAACCTATTTTATTTTTTTGGCATATAGTCCTCAAAATATTGATGGGACATTACCTTTTAGTACCTAAACTTTTGTAGTTCTATAAATAGGTCTAATTTTTGTATATATGTGTAAATAAAAAACTCTCGAATAAATTAAATGGGTATTCATACCCAACTCATGCACATTTAGATTATGAAAGTAAATATCCATACCCTACGCAAACCCATCTACAAACTCTTAAAGTCACTCATGCCCTACTCAAAATCAATTGGTCTATTTGGGTTTAGGTAAATATCATTTATTATCCAAAATTTTCAAAAAAAAAAAATAAATAAATTGGATGTTGACCGCCATATTTCTCAGTCAATATTACTAACAAAACTGCCAACAAAAAATTAATTTTAGACTAATAATACTAACAAAACACTATAACGGAGTACATAATACATGTCCATATGTCATGTACGCCTCGCGACAAATCGCGGCATCGCCACCTAGCACCAACTGATTTGACTTGTTCCAGCTTGGTGATAGAAAATACAGTACGATGCCATATTCTGGCTTCTAGCTTCCGCAAACAATTAGATCGAAGCATAATAGACAAATTAAGCAGCCAGTCGAGGAAATTAATCAAATGAAATAGATAAATTAAAAGGCTGGTCACTAATTTTACTAAAAGGGAAAGGGGTTGGTTTATTTTTGCCATCGACTGGATAACTAGTACTTGAAGCTTTTTCTTACCCGATTACGCAGGTTGTATAGATAGCCACAAGTCCACTTCGAGTTGGTGTGTTCGTCTTGATTACTCCTTCATTTCATGGCGTTGTATGAAGCAAGACAGAGTGTTGAAGTTTTCTACTGAGGCAGAATACCGTGCCATGTCAGATGTCACTTCTGAGCTCGAATGGCAAGTACGGTTACTTGGTGATTTCGGTGTTACCTGCGAGCTTCCTAAATATGCAATTGTACGTGGACAATACCGGTGCCATTAAGACTGCTAATAATCCGGTTATGAATGATCGAACCAAACACATTGAGGTTCATGTTCACTATATTGGAGATATGGTTCGTAATGGCACTGTTCATCAGATTCGTTATGTTTTGTCCGAGGATTAGATTGCAGACCTCCTGATGAAGGCCTTCACTGCGGGATGACATTGGTATCTCTCTGTCAAATTGACGATGAGAGACCTCCTTCAATTTGGGGGAGGTTATTGAATTTTAGAAGCCCACCGCAGTGGGCGGCCCATGTACATATATATTTATTGTCCATGTACGTATAGGAGTTAGGCTAGCATGTTAGGCTTTCTGGTATGAAGCCTATATATTCTACTAGGGATGGCAATGGGTCGGGTTGGGGCGGGTTTTGTCAAACCCAAACCCAAACCCATGGGTTTATCCACCAAAAAAACCCGGGGTAAAACCCGTTGAGTTTCAAACTCAAACCCAACCCAACCCGCTGGGTACCCGTGGGTTTTTGTGGTAAAAATTTACAATAACAAGTTTCTTTCAAAATAAAAGTTTAACATCAATTTTCTCATACAAATTAATCATACAAAAACACCAATCTAGATCATACAAACAAACCGCAAATGATCAATACAAATTGTTCAAAATTAAATATAAACATATATAAACAATAAGATTAATTAAAAGCTTCTTCCTCGTCAACTAAGTTTCTTCACTCTCCACTTCATAATATCAACTTCATTCTAAACAATTAGAAAGAACAAATTATATATGTCTCCACAAACATATAGAATATTAGTTGTTTAAGGAAGATATATTATTTAGAATATTAAATATACCGGGAAAGTAATTATATGTGTGTGTGCGGGTACCCATGGGGCTGGTTTACCTAAACCCAAACCCGACCCGGTGAATAGTGTAGCGGGTTTAAACCCGAACCCGGCCCAAAACCCGTCAACACAGGTTTTACCTGCGTTGACCGGGTTGGGTCGGGCGGGTACCCGTGGGTTCGGGTTTTGTTGCCATCCCTATATACTACATGTATGTTGTATCCGACGATTAAGAGAATAAGAGAGTACACATCTACTTTGGCCGCGGAGTAATCTAGTTCATTCTAAACGAGGAAACCACTTAAATCTCAAACAAAAAAAGCCGGCTGATGAATAGATTCCCT